CTGCAGTATAAATTGATATCTGCAGTGTGACCTGTTGATGTCTGCAGTATAAATTGATGTATTCTGTTGGTAGTTATAGTATCAACTAGTAATGGTTACATGGTGATTTGTTAGTAAATTATAACCAGTTAAAAGGAAGGTCATGTATATTCCTTTATGTGGGACATAAATACATCAAAATTTAAAGTATGTATTTTCTATTGTAAAAGTATTTATTAGACAAAACATTATAAGGTTATATTAATTATTTTTGACATTTTAAAATTATTTATTGATAACATTTATAAATTTTTTTTCTTTGATATTTAGTATTATAGAATATACCTTTTTACATGATAAGGTCTTTGATAACTTTACTTACATACAATGCTAGAAGTTAGGGTATGATTCTCCCACAGGTACTTAATTGTGGTAAAACAAGCAATATGTATTAAGTTAAAGGATAATGGTGTGTTTTGTAGAACAAAACTATTATCCAATTACATATTACTGTACATGTTTCACTAGTTCAGGCTGAATTATTTTGAATTGTTAAAATGATAAAACTGATTTTATTTTACACTTTTTTTCCATGTATATATATATTGAATGCTTATTAAAAAATGTAAATAACATTCACTTCTTTTCGTTTTACAATATATTTAGTTTATATTATAACATCCAAAATTTTTCAAATTGTTTTGCTCCCCAGTGGCACAGCGATATGTATGCGGACTTACAACGCTATAAAGTGGGCTTCAATACCCATGATGCGCAGAGCACAGATAGCCCATTGTGCAGCTTTGTGCTTAACTTCAAACAATCAATCAAATTGTTTTAATTTATGTCATATAAATTATGTTCGAATGTCACATTGTAGTCCTTACAACATTTTTAACAAATTGTAATCTTTTGGTGTAGCTGGCTTCATCAGACTTGGAGCAAGTACAGACTGAGTATTATGGTACCAGAAACTGTAGAGATCATCACCTGGCATCAGGAGGCCAAAGGAGCAATGATTATCATGATCCCTATGCTCCACAAGGTAATCATCAAAATTGTAGGGATTTCAAGGAACAAGATTATGTAAGAGAACGAGAATGGGCACGAGATCATGATCCTTACTATGATGAGTATGATGCGAGTGAGAGAATGCTGATGCACAAAAAGGAGGACAATATTCAACCTAGTGAAATGAGAGAGATGCGAGACTTGAGAGATTATGAACACCATCACCGTGGTGACAAAAACTACCACTTCACTCATAGAGGACAGAAGTATCCTGGATACACAGTGAATGTAATCTAGAAGTCACCATTACTGTGAGAATCGGGATTCTGGATGTCACAACTGCCTTTAACCCTCACTGTTCAAACAGTATCCTTTATCATTTGACTTGTTAGATTTTGTATCAAATTTTATTTTCTCCACATTACTTGTGATGATGAGAACGGTAGAATTAAGTGAAGAAATTCGTCCAACTTTTTGAAAGTAGTTTATGAAAGTTGTTGTAAAAGCTAATTATCTACGTAGGTAGAAGTGGTAGCTAGAATGTGTCAGAAGTGTGATACCTTGAGGTGAAGCTGTATATAGAGATACAGCTGTGTCAACACCTGAAACTGCTTCTTATCAGAATGAAATAGTGCATACAAAATATGTAGGAGCTTTTGGCAAATAAATTTCCGAGTGCCAGAAGGATTTGTGTAATTACGTCTTTTAAATAAGTTGACTGTATTGAAAATGTTGCCATTAGAGTATGCTTATGTTTAACCCAGTTAATATAAATTATATGAGGATTTTGAACTTTATGTTTTTAAATTTCTGATACTAAATAATTTTTCTGTATAGGCTGTGTAAAATTGTGTAGAAAATGTTTGGAAATACTCATCATATATGGAAATTATGTATGTTTTAGTTTATTTTGAAAGATTTAATTGATATTTTTTATGGGAGAAATAGTAAACTGACTGTTGTAGTATTGGTAAAAAAATGTTGAGTTCAAGTACACTTAGTTAGTCCCAAGATTGTGATATGTCTGTTTGTTTGTTTATAATTAAGCACAAAGCTACACAATGGATTCTAGCGTTGTAAGTCCGCAGACATACCGCTGTGCCACTGGGGGGAGTGATATGTCTAATCTCATTTTTTTAGTATGTTAATTCGTTCATGTATAGTAGAAAATGCAAACAGAAAAGAGTCATTTGATGGTAAAGAAAACAAACTTAAGTCTTTTTCTCCAGATTGATTTTAATTCTTCTTTAAATAGGTAGGAGAATGTAATGAAGACTAAGATGTACAATATGATGTAGCTACTCAAATAACTTGGAACTTGGAGAGGAGGTCACAGTTATTTTCTCAACAATATAATTTCTTGTCATATTTTTTAGTCTAACTGGATTATTCTGTTTTTTTTAATTGTTTGGGGCAATACTTTGTTTATATGTAAACAAAAATTGTTTCTAAAGCTCAATTCATCTCTTGATTAAATTTTCAGTAATATATATTTAAAATTGTTTGCAGAGATAAAATATTCATAATATACCTGTACACAATCTAACTTCCCTTGAAGGTAAAGTGCATCTGTTCATTATTTTGTATAATAATTCAAGAATATATAAAAGTATAAAGGCAGTAGTTCTATATAATGAAAATATTTGATGAAACCTAAATAATTTTGATTCACTGATCTGTGTGAAAACTAATTAACACAATTCCTGGAAGGAAAAAATACATAATGGAAATTGGTAGTGGAAAAACAACTAGATCTGAATAAAATAAACAATTAAATATGTGATAAAATACATTTTAAAAAGTGTTTTAATATCAAATATTCCAGTATGAATGGGTAAATGAAATGTCAATTTAAACACGTGTTTATGATTGTTCTATGTCAATGTAAAAGTTTATTTATTCCTGAAGTTCAACTTTAATATTCCTTGACCTAACTAAAGGTCGATGCGATATGTTTACTGTAACCAATCTTTTTTTTTGGAACTTGATATGGATGCGAGTTAAAAATATTTTCTTATACGCAGCGATTGTTCTTTTTCATAGAAATTAGTTGCTCAGAATTACAGGAAAATATATTACAAAATGAAAACTAGCACTTTGGGGGAAATATACTGTCCTTTTCTTTTGGACTTAATGAAGGAGCGAGAGTGCTACCAATCAATAAGTCATGTTGAATCTAACAAGATGGTAGGATGAAGAAGAAGTTGTTTTGGCTAGCAAGGTGTTGGCTAGCAGAAGTATATTTGTTTAATTGTGTGGACTATTTTTGTTGTGTTTTCACTGTAATGTGCAGAACTCCAAAAGTGCACCAAATGGAAAATAAGAATAATTTCTATAAAATGTCAGATGATAGCACTGGCTTGTTATAAGCCAAGTAACCAAATGGTGATTGAAATCTAGAGAATACAGGAGATATATATTGGTTATGAAATTTCTTCATGCTGAACATAATAATGTGTAATGCTTTATCACTTTGCCAATGTTTTAATAGTACGTGTTTCACACCAATCCTGTCAAAATGTCCATGTCCACATTTGTGCGTTCCATTACACATCAATAAGTATGAAACTTTTACTTGTGGAAGATGTATTCTTTTAAATTGTATATTCATAACTTTGTTTTTTCTGATAAAATTATATTATTGGAATGACACGTTCCTGATAGCTTTTGTAAATATAGGTCTTAGCTTTAATCAACCTGTATTCTTGGAATGATGTCCTCACAGTGGTTGATCTCCATATATTTGGATTTTACACTGTAGAATTCAATTTTATGCACAAGTCACCTTGTTAAAAATGTATTAATGTGGGATATACTTCCCTTGTCACCTTCGCAAGAACAAAAACAACTGTTTACCAATTGTTACGATTTTAGATATTTGTATCAAATGTAGCAGAACTTTCGATTGATAGATTTTAAGTAGTATAATGGATTTGTAACATTTAATCTAAAAATATTTCTTTCTGTACAGATAGTTTGCAATAGATGTATACTTGAGGTTTCTTCAGAATATATTGGAGGGAAATTAATTTTTTTTGAAATACTATCCGCGTTGTTTCGTACTAAACGTGTTTATCTGCGGAGTTATTAATATAAAATTCTAATACGGAGGTCGGTACGGAATTAATAACTATCACGTTCCATAGATGTCTCCTTCGAGAGGCTCCAAGAGAAGTAAAAACAAAAAACGATACGTTTTGAAGAATGGTCAATATTTCTGATTACATGAACGTACATTTTCGGTGTCTTTTGTTTGAACACGATTCACTGGAAGTGGAACAGTTTAAAAAATCGTGATACTTAAATAAAAAAATAATCCAAATTTGAATAACATTTCTTTAATTCTTCTTCATAAGGTGGAGGGCGCGTGTCGGCCCTATGAAAGAACTTTGGATTTCGAAGATAGCAAACCGAGTTCGAATCCATGGAAATACCAAGGACATTCCCCGCACTTTAGTTATTGATGCATTATAAGAGTGACAGTGAATCCCTTAGCGTGAAAGGTGGGCGGTGGAATGCTGCTGACTGGCTGCCTTCGCTCCCGTCAATAATTCAAAATTAGGGACGCGGCCATAAATACAAAATACAACTATTTTATTTTATATACTTAATAGAACTGATATTGAAAGTTGTTGGAGTCAAACTGACTCTTACATAACAATTACACTAATAAACTAATTACAGGCTGAAATATTTTTTATTACCCTTGCAATTAAAGTGTTCCATGTCATCAAAATTGTGCAAGTTTATAACTTAAGTAATAAATTCAAACACATTTTAGTGTAAGTGAATTAACGATTCCTGTAGATACTTAAATCGTACGAGAAGTGTCCGTGATGTTCCATGTAAAGTATTTTTTTGGAACATTAGTTTACTTAATATTGTCTAGTATTAGGAGTGTTGTAAGAATTTTGGAATGTCGTGTTTTTTATATTAAAAAGTTCATTTTAAATCTTGACACTTTTCAAAATTTTTCGAACGATAAAATTGTTTTAATGAGTAATAATATATTCATAAAAGGTCTTTATTTTTTGTGTTGGAACAATAGAGCCTTTCGAAATATTTTCACATGTACGGGTCCAAAAATACTTTATAGGCTTACTGTTACGTTTAACTCCTTAGCATATGTATACTTGAATTATAAAACATACACGGACTAGACCGGACTATATTATACTAATTGCCTTTTCTGTAGTCAAAACTTGTTTTTTTTCTGTAATTAAACCTTTTTTTTTATGCATTTCCTTCCTGAAGTTGTTTGAATATCTGGTATCGTTATACTAAATCATCAGACACTGCGATATAAAAGCCACATTTGGTTTTTATATTTCATGGCTAAAGGATTAAAAATAATCAAACAAAAATGAAAGATATTTGATTTTTGAGTAAAGAAACCAACCAATTCCATGATAAACATTTAATTTTTTTTGTTGTTGTTGATAACCCCATAAGATCATTTTCGAAACATTTATATCAACGAAAGTTCAAAGATTATTGTTGAAATTGATAGTTATTTATTGACATGATAACTTGTGATAAGACGACGTTGTATCTTTAACTCAGAAGACAGGTTGTCCATTTCTACAACATTCAGGTTAGTAGTACTTTACTTAAAAGTCAGATACGTCTAAAACGCTTCATGGAATATGAAAATATGAAATTAGTTGCGTTTAAATACAACGCAAAAACAACTTACCGAATGTTTTTTTTCATTATTATTACGGACTTGCTTGTTGAGCGTATTTTGCGAATAGCACTTTTAAATATAAATTCATAAGTGTCCTAGAACTGCATAATTATAATGCTAATAGTTTTTGGTTTTCTCGTAAAGGATTAAGTGTAGTTTGTTCGTTAGTGGAAGTTGTGGGTATAGGATCCCAATATTTATGAACGAGTACAGCAAAGAATACAAGTTGATTTCAGCCCTTATTTCAAAATTAGAATTTGTTTTATTTTATAAGAGAAATCCTTTAGGAAAACAAACGAAATTTGTTAAAAATGAATTAAAAATACTCTTGCGTTAAGAATCAGCAGAGAAAATAGCTAGTGATTTGTGAATTAGATATACATTTATAATTAAGCTAGTTACTTTCTTGGGTATTTCAAAATAAGAGAAATAATGACATGTTATTGAAATACAGAAAAGAGAAGAAATGATGGTTTGAATACGTAAGAAGTAAAATAACTAATAATTTGTCAATCAAGAGTTTATATCTCTATTTGATGTTGTCAGTAGAAAGTTAAAGCTTTCATGCTGTAATGTATTCTTTTGATAACCGATTATTTTTGTTAAGATACATTGCATTTCTGAAAGAGGTGAAATATATCCAGTAAAAACAAAATATTGATAATTTTTCTCTTGTTCTATTTGTGCTTATTGTTGCCCAAGCAATTTCGTTGAATAGTGAGTGATATTTCTTACTCATGAGGATTTTTTTCTTATTGACACATACTGGCCCTAAAGAATCTTTTGAAAATAAACTCCAATCTTCAGTTAGAATGTGAATGTTTTAAAATATGGTAGGTATAATAAACGAGAAAAGTATGTTACTTTAAATATCTTCATATTCGTTTTTATTTATTTGTTGATAAATTTTTTATCAGGGTATAATCTTCTGTATAGAACTGATAACGTGTGATCAAATGTGATAACGTACTTTCAGAGTACGGGTGTTAATGGATATTACTGAACGAATAGAGAATTTTGTATTCACACTGCTTTTGAGTGATTGTGTTTTCTAATAGACTAGAACGGCGTATTATTACATTGAAGGTTTTAATTTCACGGAACCGATTTACTGAAAGGAATATACTTCGATAGCATTAGGAGGATGTAATTATGTGAAAATTTAATATGATATTCCTCACTTAATATTTTTAAGAAACGTTGATTAACTGAATTGGATTTAAGTTCTGTTTCACGCGATTTTTAACCATTTATTATATTCTTGCACTTTCATCTTAGTCGCGACTGTATTTTTCCTGTTTGTACATCGTACCTGCATGTATATCGCTAGTTCAGGCTCTTGCCGTGTAAATACACGCATCTCTTGATGCCATTTTCAGACTGCCTTGACTTCTTATAAATGCTCACCTCATGCATTATTATATATGTTCTCAATAATAAGAGAGAACGATAGAAAA